GGACCTGTATGCAAACAATACAGATCTCTCCCCTGTCATCCACATGGAAGAAAAATATATTTGACATATATTTTAAAAATATTCTTCCCAAATATATTGACATATATTTGAAAGGCAACAATTTTCGCCATATTCTATATATATATATATATATATATATATATATATATATTCTGTATGTTGAAATGCATTTTTATTACAAAATATCTGAAATATATTTTTAAAAATACATTTCAAAACTGTATGTCTTTCAAAATGCAAATTTAAATTTTGGAATGCATTTACAAATATATATAAAAAGATATGTTAAAATGACTTTTTTATATGTTAAAAAAAACTGAAGAATATATTTTTAAAAAATATAATATTAAAAATATATATTTTTTTTAAATATATTCTTCAGATTTTTTTTTACCATCTAAAAAAGTAATTTTAACATATATTTTTATATATATATTTGTAAATGCATTCCAAAATTTAAATTTGTATTTTTAAAGACATTCAGTATATTTGAAATGTATTTTTAAAAATATTTTTCAGATATTTTGGAATAAAAACGCATTTCAACATACAGTATATATATTTATTGACTATCTTTGCCCGGAAACATAATCACTCAATTCACCCTCGGCATATTTATAAATTGCGTAATAAGCATGGTAATGTTTCCTCCCTACCCCACGAAGTGTTGGATAGTTTTCGGGAAATTTTATTCCTCCCTGTTGGCTCCCACTCAGGCGGTCTCCCCTCCCCAGGAACTCTCTTGGCTTGATTCCTTACCTCTTCCTACCCTTTAGCCCACTTAGATTTCATCCCTTAATGTCCCTTGTACCATGGAGGATATTACGCGGGTAATTAGCACGATAAAGAAATCCGCAGCTCCTGGCCCGAACTGGTTCACGACTAATTATTACAAACACTTTGCCCCTCTTTTAGCCCCTTCCTTGATATCTATGTTCAATGAGGTTCTGCGGGGGGGCAGGTTTCCTGATGAGATACTTTTGGCCAATATGTCCCTGTTGCCCAAACCCCTAAAGGATCACCTTTTACCACAAAACTATAGACCCATTTTGGTGATGAATAATGATTTAAAGATTTTTAGCCGTATATTGGCAGATAGGTTGGCCCCTATTATCTCTGCCTTGGTCTAACCTGATCAATTGGGTTTTATTCCTGACAGACGTATCACTGATAATATACATCTCATCTTAAAATGTCATCCAGGATGCCAATTTGCACTCTACGGAGGTATTGTTATTGAGCCTAGACAGTTGTTGCAGAGATTGGTTTTGGTAATGGGTTTCTTTCCAGTGTAAAGGCCTTGTATAACTCTAATGAGAATTAGACTCCCAGGATGCAACTTTTTTACTCTGGGCAGGGGCACCCGTCAGGGTTGTCCGCTCTCGCCCCTTCTGTTTGCACTTGTTTTGGAACCCATGGCTATTGCTGTAAGGTTACATCCTGATATCTCAGGGTACCCGCTCTTAGTATCACAATTTAAGTTATGTATGTATGCTGATGTTATGCTCTTTCTTACCAATACATTAGTATCCCTGCCTAATTTATGCACATTGTTGACTGATTTTGCATCCATATCAGGACTCTCTGTGAATTTTACTAAATCTGTACTGATGCATATTAATGTTACTGAATCTTTAGAGAAATCCCTCCATTTCGGTGGAACATGGAATGGATTCTATACCTGGGCATTTATCTCATACCCAAATATTCTGAGCTATTTGCAGCTAATTACCCAACATGTGTGTCTCGTCTTTGCACTTTGCTTAAGGTCTGGCATGGGTACCCTATCTCATTTATGGGCAGAGTCACGGCTGTAAAAATGAATATTTTACCTAAACTCCTCTATTTATTCAGAGCACTTCCATTGTCGGCCCCTAAATCTTTCTTAGATCGCTTTCAAAGAGTGATCAACAAATTCATTTGGTGAAACAGATGCCCTCGCTTTACTTCACGGGTCCTATATAAATCAAAAAGTCAGGGAGGCTTAGGCCTTCCCAACTTTTGTCTTTATTATCTATCGGCTCGTTTTTCTCAATTAGCTCAATGAGTGACTGTTAACTCCCCGACACCATGGGTCAGATTTTAATTCCAGTCTATACGGCCATTTTATCTACCAGGTTTGTTGTGGTCAAATACTCCCCCTCATTCACTGTTGATGTACAATTCGATTGTGTTCCACTCTTTTGCACTTTGGTCTGGCTATAAATCTAAATTGGGTCTTATCTCTCTAGCTCCACAGGGCTCAACATTTTCGGTGACCCGCGATTTATCACAGGGTTTTTGGCTCCACAGGCTTTTCGCTGGTGGTATCATCACACTTTCATTAGACTATCAGATTTTCAGTTTGGTGGCTCTTTTATATCATATGATACGCTATCGTACGTTATTTGATATTCCGCTTCGTGAACGTTTTCGCTATCAGCAAATACTTTTTCAGTTCCCATTTTGGTTCGACACCCTTGTCCCCGATTACCTATTTCGAACATATCAGCCGTGATTGGCCCAGGGGTAGGGTAGGGGTCTTTTCTCGGATTTATATTGCTCCTTTTTAACTAGCATTTATCCCATGCCTCCTTTGTATAGAAGGAAATGGGAAATTGAATGTGTGGTTACATTTTCTGATGAGGACTGTGATTCTATGGTGGAGAATATACAGAAGGATCTAGATCTCTCCCGGTCTGTGAGACAGCCCTAAAGGTTTTAACTCGCTAGTACTTCTAGACTCCATGATATGTTTCCGGGGACAACGCACCTCTGTTTTTGAGGGTGTGGATTACCCTTGTACATGTATTTTGGGCTTGTCCTAGTCTGTCTTTTATCTGGTCTAGAATTACGGAAGTGGACTCTGCTCTGGCAGGCTCCCCGGTGGATTTGTTCTTGTAAATTTGCTTATTGGGTGTGTTGATTCCTGGGATCCCAGTTAACAAAATGAGGGTAATTCACACTATCTGCAATGCCACTCTGTGGGCTATTGCCCTTTACTGGAAGTCACCAGTAGTCCCTTAAGTCTGTCTTAAGGAGAATTGACATGGTTATGCTTATGGAACATATTCAATATACGCTGTTGGATAGGATGCACTTATGTGACAGTAAATGGGATGATTGGAGAGCCCATTGACACCTATTATCTGAGTGATGATCTCTCAGGAATTGTTTTACATTATACCTATTAATGAGCTTGTGATTGTTTTGTCAATATTATTGACTACCCCATTCATGTACTTGATTTTATTTTTACTATTTTCGTTCTACGAATGTGCTTTGTATTTCTGTTTAATTTTTATATATCTTGTTTTATGCTGTTGATTCTACCTCACTGTATGGTGTGGTTTTTTTGTAGTCTATCTCTTAATAAACAATGTTTGTAAACAAAAAAAAGACTGGGGGAAATTAATATTGTATGAATAATCTCGTCTGCCCAGGGGGGCAGTTTTATTTCTAGCTGTTTGGTATTTTATACCTTTTGATGCTGTTGGGCTCTTTATATAGAAAAATACCCACTGCCAGGGCATCCAGGAGCAGCAGTATTTAGGCTGAAAAAATGCATGGCGTGCTTAAACGCAGCTAAATGAGCATGGGGGCTAGGCAAATTTAGTGCTTGAGCATCCATTTATTCCCCTGGCCAAAATAAATTATTTATTCTAGCCAATTAAATTAATTAATACCTGGCTGCTTGACAAGTGGTACACACTTTTACAAGTGTCAAGCGTTTTTTCAGGGCCAAAAATCCAATAAACTCAAATTCATTCATAAATTTAGGCCAAAATGTATTCTGCTACATGTCTTTCGTAAAAAAAAAAAATCCCAATACGTGTACATTAATTGGTTGTGTGAAAGTTATAGTGTCTACAAACTATGGTATATACAGTATTATGGAATTTACGCATCTTTTACTTTCTGACTGCCTATCACATTTCTTGAGGTGCTAAAATGCCAGGGCAGTAAAAAAAAAAACCCTTTTTGGAAAGTAGACACCCCAAGCTATTTTCTGAGAGTTATGTTAAGTCCATGAAAGTTTTGATTTTTTGACACAAGTTTCTGGAAAATTTAATTTTTTTATTTTACACACGATTGTCACTTAAATTACATATTGCTCACACATGCCATGGATATATATGGAATTACATCCCAAAATACATTCTGCTGCTTTTCCTGAGTATAGGGATACCACATTGCCACGTCAAAAGAAATGACCGCCATCAGGCTTTAAAAAAAGTTTTACATTTGGAAACTGTGATAGGTTACCAGGTGAAAAGATCTGTCAAAAGCTGAATTTGAGTTGGCGGCAATATATTTTTGTACATATAAATTGCTTTGGCACACAATCAAATTATACAATTCTTCCATGAAAAACAGCTAAAAAAAATCATGGGGAGTAGTTAAATTTTCTATTTCCACCTGAATTCCGGGTTGGGAAGTGAATGGGAGAAGTATGGGTTACTGACCCGGCCTGCCCGACTCTGCTCTCGCTACCTCCTCACATCAGGCTCTCACCTGCTATACACCTCCGGTGGTGCTTCTACTACAGCTGAGTGAACCCAGGGGTCGTGACCTGGTCTCGGCCTGCTCCAAGTCCATCCCCACCATCAGGGGCCCTGGTGAACAAGCAGGTTGGGACTTAGATTCCACGCCTTGGGGGATTCCGGTCTGTGGAACGCTAGAGGCTACCGCCGGCAGGGACATAACAGAACCATACGGCCATGACAGAGTCTGGAGGAGGACCTTCTCCCTGGGACAAGATGTGCCAACACCTGGCGGCACTCACATGGGCCGTAAAAATACTGGAAGAAGGATATAAGCATCTGGAGGGATAGGTTCAGAGCTTGGCCGCACCTGAGCCCACAACATCAGACGCGGTGTCAGGGCTCCCAGGTGTGACCAGAGGTGTGTGACTGACGCAGGGAAACGCAGACTTCAGATATGTGATAAACAATATAATTTATTAACACTAACCATACAAACATAAACGCAGTGCAATACTAAAACATAATACAGTGCAAACAAACCACACCAACCACCCACCCACAGATAACAGTACATACAAGCAAGCGTCGTCAGGCAGGCCGGGTCAATATCAATAGGGCAGGTAGGTACAGGGGGAGCAAGCGGAGATGGGTCGGGGTCACAGGCCAGGTTCAGCAGGTAGCTAGCAGCGTAGTACAGAGGGTCAGGCAGAGGGATGGTCAGGGTCACAAGCCAGGGATCAGAACAGGTAGCAAGCAGCGTGGTACAGAGGGTCAGGCAGAGGGATGGTCAGGAGCAAGCCGGGATCAGAGCAGGAGAAGTCAGCAGCGGTTCAGATCAGGCAGGGTCAGCAAAGGAACAGAAACAGGATGCAGGACAGATACAGGGCCCAGGACAAACACAACACCAAGGCAGAGTCTGCAAGTCTGGCCATCCCTTAAATACACCAGTATCATCAGTTCCAGGTATTAGCTGGCTGAAAGGTTGAGTCTCTGATTGCTGGGAGCACCCGCTGGCCAGCCCTGGTACTGCAGATCAAAAGGCAGTGAGTCCCACCATTGCTGGCCAGTCCATTCCTGACACGCGGTGAGTGCGCCTTCTGCCACGGGCTCAGCTGGACCTTCCACTGGAGCAGCATTTTCCATTCCTCTGCCAGAATCGCGAGTACCAACCCCTGAGCAGTTCAATGGTGATGGAGTAAAGTTCAGGGCTTTCCAGAACTCCTGCCAGCTATATTTTGATCTGCAACCCCGGACCTTCTCATCTGAATCTGTGAAGGTAGGATTTATTATATACTTGTTGCAGGGTGAGCCCCAGGGATGGGGTCATCGCCTGATGGAGATTCGCCACCCACACCTGAACTCTGTTGCCACCTTCTTCAAGGCAATGGAGCAGCTTTATGATGACCCGCATAGAGCTGCCTCGGCTGAGGCAGCCCTCTATTCCCTACAGCAGGGACGCCGGGCTTCGGAGGATTATGCAGCTGAGTTTAGGTGTTGGAGTGGAGACACTCAGTGGAATGACGCAGCCCTGCACCATCAATTCTGGTTGGGATTGTCTGACCCGCTAAAGGACGAATTGGCAAGAATAGGAGTCCCTGACTCCTTGGAAGACCTAATAGACCAGGCCATTCAGATCGATCGCAGGTTTTGGGAAAGGAGACAGGAGAGGTCCAGCCAGGGGCCAAGAACCTCATGGATGCTGCCAAGGGTACCAGTCTTGCCAAGTGTCAGTGTCGGCAATCGGAGTCCAGAACCATCAGAAGGGCTGAGCCCATGCAGCTCGGTCTGATGCGGTCTTCCCTCTCTATGGAGGAATGTCAGAGACGTTGATCGAACAATCTATGCCTATACTGCGGAGCAGCGGGTCACATGAGAAGTACAGTAAGTCCTCTTCTATTATTTCTGCTATATCTACTGTGTGCACAGGCAACCCCACTCACTTGGCTGTGCCTGTGTCTTTTCAGCTCCCCGGAAGAATCGTACAGGTGACAGCTATTATTGACTATTATTGACTCCGGGGTTGTGTAGCTGCTTTGTTGATCTCGGCTTTGCAGCCCAGCAACAGATACCTTTTACTCACCAAAGAGCATGGCCTGAACATTTTTTTGGCTGACGGGTCCCAAATAAAATCGGGGACGGTAGATCGGGAGACCCCTCCTATACACACCACAGTGGCAGGGCACCATCAAGAGCTTCTCCGTTTGGACGCCATTGCGTCCCCCCTATTTCCAGTTATTTTGGGGCTTTCCTGGCTACGAGCTCACGACCCCCAAATTGATTGGAAGGCCGGGTCAGTTCAGTTTCCCTCACTTTACTGCCAGGAACATTGCTTACCCAGGTTACCACTAGAAACACCGAGCTTATTAACTATGAGTTCCTTTTGCCGAGTTGGCCCAAATTGTGCCTGCGGCCTATCATCAGTCCATTGATCTTCTCCCAGGTTCTGAAATACCTTTCGGCCGAATCTTCCCTCTGTCAGAACGTGAGCTAGGGACACTGAAGGAATATATTGACGAGAGCCTCCGGAAGGGATTTATCTGCCCTTCCACATCACCGGGGCAGGAATCTTTTTTGTTGAAAAGAAGGACCGATCCCTGAGACCTTGTGTCGATTATAGGGACCTAAATAAAATTACGGTCAAGAATCGCTACCCCCTTCCCTTGGTCACTGAATTATTCCAGAGGTTGAAGACAGTTTCCATTTTCTCTAAACTTGATCTCAGGGGCGCCTATAACCTGGTCCGTATACGCGAAGGGGACTAGTGGAAAACGGCTTTTCGCACTCGGTTTGGGCATTTTGAATGTTTAGTTATGCCATTTTGGTTATGTAATGCGCCAGCCACATTTCAGCACTTCGTAAACAATATTTTTAGAGATTTTCTCGACATTTTTGTAATCGTCTACCTAGACGACATTCTGATATTTTCCTCGTCTCTGGAGGCGCATCGGGGACATGTCAGGAGCACGCTGGAGCGACTCCGTCAGCACGGGCTCTACGCTAAAGCTTTGAAATGCTGTTTCGAGCAGAGAAGTATCTCGTCTTTAGGTCTAATTATCTCCACCATGGGGATCGCTGTGGAACCTCAGAAAATCACAGCGATTTTGGAATGGCCGGCCCCCACGGATAAGAAGGGGGTTCAGAGGTTTATCGCTAATTTTTATAGGAAGTTTATAAAGAACTTCTCAGGCCTGGTAGCACCCATCACCCAGCTCACCAAGGTGGGGGTGAATTTCCAATGGACCCCAGCAGCACAGGCTGCTTTTGAGGTGTTAAAGAAGCTGTTCACAACAGCTCCCATTCTGAGCCACCCTGATGCATCATTGCCGTATATATTAGAGGTAGACGCATCAGAAGTGGCTGTAGGAGCAGTGTTGTCACAAAGAGTAGGGGCCAAGGAGCTAATGCACCAGGTGGCTTTCTTTTCTAGGAAGCTCTCCCCTTCGGAAAGAAACTATGATATCGGGGATCGGGAATTGTTAGCCATTAAGGCAGCATTAGAGGAATGGCGGTGTCCTACATCCCATTTTGGTCTATACCGACCATAAAAACCTTGAGTATCTGAAGACAGCTAAACGCCTCCATCCACGCCAGGCCAGATGGGCACTATTCTTTGCGAGGTTTAGCCTACATATCACCTACCATCCTGGGTCTAGAAACACAAAACCAGATGCTCTCTCCCGGATGTTTGAGGACCCTAGAGAGACACCTCAACCGGATACCATCTTGCCGACAGGTAGCTTTTTATTGCTCCAGTCTGAGCTGTTGTCCAAACTGCAGGCTGCATCCACCCGGGTTCCTGATCTACCTGGAATCCCATTACAGAGCAAGAAAGTTCTTTTTTGGAGGAGGGAACAGATCCTGGTACCCAAGGAGACTCGGTCCCTGGTTTTAGGCTATTGCCATGACCCTCCACTGGCGGGTCACTTTGAGATACACAAAACCTTAGAATTGGTACGACGCACATTTTGGTGGCCAAATATGGCCAAAGATTGTGAAGCGTACATTAAATTTTGCCCTATCTGCAATCAAAATAAACCCACCAGAGACAGGGCTTGGGGCCTGCTGCGACCCTTGCCAATACCTGACCGGCCTTGGAGTATGATCTCCTTAGATTTTATCATGGAACTGCCACCTTCGCAGGATCACACCATGATTTTTGTAGTGGTAGAACGTCTTTCTAAGATGGCCCACTTCCTTCCACTAGTAAAGACACCATCCGCTTCCGAAACAGCACAGGTTTTCATTAAGGAGATAGTGAGACTTCACGGAGTGCCAAAGGATATTGTTTCAGATCGGGGAGTTCAATTCACGTCCAAATTCTGAAAGGCGTTATGTGAGGGGTTGGAGATCAAGTTATCTTTTTCTTCAGCATATCACCCACAGACTAACGGGCAGAAAGAGTGGACCAATCAGACGCTCGAACAATATCTGAGATGTTACACATCATTTCTGCAAGACGACTGGAAGACACTTCTGCCACTGGTGGAATTCGCCTACAATAATGCGAACCATTCTCTGCCACCAATCAATCCCCATTCTTCGCCAACTATGGGTTCCACCCTACTTTTCTGACAGACCTGGTTCCAGAAAACTCAGTCCCAGCAGCCCAGGAGACCCTAAATTTCTTCACAACCAATAATAAGTTATTACAGGAAACGATGGCTAGAGCCCAGGAAGATAGTTTTTTGACAGGAGGAGAAAGGGGGAATTGGTCATACACCCCGGGGATCGGGTTTGGTTGTCAACAACCAACCTAAAACTGGCATGTCCGTCGAGGAAATTGACACCCAAATTTTGTGGGGCCTTTTCAAGTAGAACGTAAGGTCAATGAAGTGGCATTTACTCTAGCACTTCCCGAATCCCTTAAAATACATCCGGTTTTCCATGTGTCGCTGCTGAAACCTGCAGTACCAGATCCCTTTTTAGATCGCAGATCTAGACCTCCAGAGGCCATAGACATTGATGGGGAAGAGGAATTCGAGGTAGAGGCAATTATGGACTGCAGGAAAAGGGGTGGTCAAACGCAATACCTGATCAAGTGGAAAGGCTGTGGGCCAGAGGAGAATTCGTGGGAACCTGCTCAAAATGTCCATGCTCCCAGATTGATGCGGGAATTCCTTCGCAACCAGCCTCAAAGGGGGAATCGGGTGGGCATCCGGAGGCTGCCCGTAAGGGGGGGCAATGTCAGGGACCTCAGATCTGGCCGAGATCTCACACGGGTCTGCGCATGTGCGGTATGCCCGGCCGCACTAGCATACGAGCATTGTAACCTGGGCACCCGCGACAGCAGTGACGGTCGCGCATGCGCACTCGCGATCGTGGAAGCGCGCCTGGCAGCAATCAGGGTGCAGTGCGCCCTATTTAAAACAGAACAGGTCTGTGTTCTAATTGCTGTATGGTCTTACCTGTATCCTGTGTTTCCTGTATTGAGATTGCCTTGTGGCCGACCCTGCTTGACCCTGATTTGCTGATTGTCTCCTGTTCTGATCCCTGGCTTGTCTGACCATTTCTCTTGTTTAATCCTGCACGTTCTGATCTCCTGTTACCGAACCCGGCTTGTGACCCGTTTATCCTTCTGTCTACTGTTTTGGTACCGTTCTGCCTCCACCGTTACCGACCCGGCCTGCCTGACTCTGCTCTCGCTACCTCCTCACATCAGGCTCTCATCTGCTATACACCTCCGGTGGTACTTATACCACAGCTGGGTGAACCCAGGGGTCGTGACCTAGTCTCGGCCTGCTCCAAATCCACCCCCACCATCAGGGGCCCTGGTGAACAAGCAGGTTGGGACTTAGATTCCGCGCCTTGGGGGATTCTGGTCTGTGGAACGTTAGAGGCTACCGCCGACAGGGACATAACAGTAACATACTCCAAGAAGGTAAATGCCATCATATTTTAACTGTGCATTTAGGGTGAAGTGCCCATAGGTGC